TGTTCAGTGCAGGCTGCAGAGACACATGGGAAGGCATGCATGAGCCCACAGCCTGTGGTCAGTGTGGGCTGCAGAGACACATGGGAAGGCATGCATGAGCCCACAACCGTGTTCAGTGCAGGCTGCAGAGACACATGGGAAGGCATGCATGAGCCCACAGCCTGTGGTCAGTGTGGGCTGCAGAGACACATGGGAAGGCATGCATGAGCCCACAGCCGTGTTCAGTGCAGGCTGCAGAGTCACATGGGAAGGCACGCATGAGCCCACAGCCTGTGGTCAGTGCAGGCTGCAGAGACACATGGGAAGGCACGCATGAGCCCACAGCCTGTGGTCAGTGAAGGCTGCAGAGACACATGGGAAGGCATGCATGAGCCTACGGCTGTGTTCAGTGCAGGCTGCAGAGACACATGGGAAGGCATGCATGAGCCCACAACCGTGTTCAGTGCAGGCTGCAGAGACACATGGGAAGGCATGCATGAGCCCACAGCCATGTTCAGTGCAGGCTGCAGAGACACATGGGAAGGCATGCATGAGCCCACAGCCGTGTTCAGTGCAGGCTGCAGAGACACATGGAAGGCATGCATGAGCCCACGGCCGTGTTCAGTGCAGGCTGCAGAGACACATGGGAAGGCATGCATGAGCCCACAGCCATGTTCAGTGCAGGCTGCAGAGACACATGGGAAGGCATGCATGAGCCCACAGCCGTGTTCAGTGCAGGCTGCAGAGACACATGGGAAGGCACGCATGAGCCCACAGCCTGTGGTCAGTGCAGGCTGCAGAGACACATGGGAAGGCACGCATGAGCCCACAGCCTGTGGTCAGTGAAGGCTGCAGAGACACATGGGAAGGCATGCATGAGCCTACGGCTGTGTTCAGTGCAGGCTGCAGAGACACATGGGAAGGCATGCATGAGCCCACAACCGTGTTCAGTGCAGGCTGCAGAGACACATGGGAAGGCATGCATGAGCCCACAGCCATGTTCAGTGCAGGCTGCAGAGACACATGGGAAGGCATGCATGAGCCCACAGCCGTGTTCAGTGCAGGCTGCAGAGACACATGGAAGGCATGCATGAGGAAGTCCAGAGTCAACATTGCACTTGAAAGGCATTTCGGATGTACCCGTGCACTACATTTTCACCAGCTTTAGGGTAACAGGAAAACTGACCGTAGGGTACACAGAGTCACCCTGTGTTCTCTTTTGCATGCGACTCCCCTGGTAGTAGCCCGTAATAGTGAGGTGCATCTGTTGACCCCGATGCGCCGATATCGCTACATGATGTAATCAGCTAACAGCCCTGTTCACATTAAGGTTCACTCTTCGAATTGTACGTTCTGTGGGTTTGGACAAATGCTACTTATCCGCCTATTTATCTCTCCCGCCGACCCTCCCCCACGCCCCTGGCAACCACTGACCTTTGTACCGTCTCCACTGTTTTGCCTCTTCCAGAATGTTTTACACTTGGAATCACACAGTATATACCTTTCCAGATGGGCTTCTTTTTTTTTTTTATTAATTTTATTTTTCTTTATTGATTTTTAGAGAGAGAGAGAGGAAGGGAGAGGGAGAGAGAGAGAAACAGTGATGAGAGGGAACATCGATGGGCCGCCTCCTGCACGCCCCACACTGGGGATCGGCCCACAACCTGGGCCTGTGCCCTGACCGGGAATCGAACCGGCGACTTCTTGGTGCAGGGTCATTGCTTAGCCGCTGAGCCACACCAGGCAGACTCAGATGGGCTTCTTTCCCTCTGCTTATGCATGTCTGTCCTCCCTATCTTCGTTCCCGTCACGAGTCCCCCTCCGTGGTCTTCCTGTACATACCGTGCCCGCCCACCCACTGCAGGGCGTCTGGGGTGCCTCCAAGGTTTCGGCAGTTGGCAACCAACCTGCCGCAGACATTGGCCTGCGGGTTCCATAGACGTCATCACCGAAGTGGCATTTCTTCAGCGGGTGTCCTTCATGCCAAGACACCTGCCCACGTGGGCGAGGTGGATCTCCTCGGAGCGAGGGCCGTGGGTGGTGGTGGAACACCGCCTGCACCCCAAAGAGGGGAGACCCTGCATCCTCTGCTGTTCGTCTCGCCTGTCGCTTCACAGAGAAAGTCTATGCCCCACAGCAGGTGTTTCTCCTTCCAAACGGAAGCGAGGGTCCTGTTGCCGGATTGGTTCATCTGTTTCAACTCATTAAACTAATTACCGTTTCCAAAGTGACAGGGGCCAACAGGCCAAGCCCGAGGACACAGGTGGTCCGCTTCGCCGCCCCACCACCAGCGCGGTGACTTATCACGGGGCCCATCTCCCGACGGTCCACGCGCTCGGCAGTTCTGGTTCTGCGTGTGACATTTACGTAGAGGATGGGCCTTCCAGCAACATCGGTTCCGGGAGTTTAAAAATGGAGACAGACTGAACATCCCTCAGCGGCTGCCGCCGGCGAGAAACGGCCCAAATGCATCTTCTGAGAAACGGCTTGGCCTTGCTCCCGCGTCAGAAATCATCTCCGCCACCTCCGCGGAGGGTTTGCTCCCTTCCTGCGGGCCTCTCCGGGCCCATAGGCGAGGGCGCCCCCCCCCCCAGCTGCAGGAATGTCGCTTCTGGGGGGCCTCCGGCCTGCTGAGGGTGCCCTTGTCTTGAGCTATGATTTCGGCGGCACAGGACACCTGCGTGTATAGAATCCTGGTTGCGGGGTCGTCCTACAGTGAGGACAAGGACGGCACCCTCGATTCGGGGCCCGCGTCGAGACCGACGCCGCCACAGCCACAGCGAGGGGCTGGGCACAGGTGTATCGCTCGTGGGGGGCGGCTGTCCCAGGAGAGTGGGCAGCTCCCAGCTGCCCTGGAACTGGCCGAGGGGGATGGGAAGGGACACCGGTTCAGCTGCACGGTGGCAGGAGCTGGGCGTGGATGAGGGCTCCCCGGTTTCACAGACACCACAGGGGGAGCACCCCCATTTTCTCATTCGCTGACTGAGCACAGGTAGAGCAGGGGACGGGAGGCTTAAAATCTCTCAGCAGCGACCCATCAAAAAAAGCGAGTCAGACCCCAGTACCCCAAAGTGTAGCTGTGCGCGCTCACTTACTCAATGAAACCAGCACCCTAGGAGTGTACGGGTCTCCGTGGGAACTGCACACGGTGTTTCTCCAGCGTGAGCATCGGTTTCCTGCGACGGGACAGCCGGGGAGAGCTTCCAAATCGGGGAGTCCGTGTTCAGCCCCTTCTGTACCTTCGACTGGCGGCTGTTTCTCCGTATGGAGAATTTTAGACACACGTACGAATAGACAGAGAAGTTCGAAACCCTTCCTGTGTCCTCGATGCACACTTCTTTCACCTGAACCGTATCCTCCCTTCGTCCGGGACGAATCGGAAGAGGACAGCGGCCCTCCGGTCATTGTGTCCACGGGTATTTCAGTGCGCAACTCTGATGTCTTTCTTCCTCCTCATCAATGCATCCTCGTCGAGTCCATCCACGGGACTGTGCAGGGTTTGGGGGTCTGGGCCTGGGAACCAGACGTCGCTGGTGGTTCCTGTCGTTCCCACCGCCTCACTGTGTGACCTTGAGCAGAGGACTTCTCTTTGCAGAACCTGGTTGCTGTCATCTGTCAGGTGGATGACCAACCTGTTTCCTCGCAGGGTCCAGCGTGGTCTAAACGAAAGAACGTGTAATACCGTCCTTTGTGTGTAGACAGTGTCCAGGTGATGGTCGCGGTCATCTTCAGTGCTGTGGACACTGTCATTGCTGGGAAGTGTTGTCCGGGATGGAATACAGTGTCCGGTTTGGGAAAGAAAGTGAAGCAAGAACAAAGAGAGTGTGAGGACTGTTGATACCCACAATGGACAGTTTTGGATGTGATGACCTGGGGGGTTGGGGGGTTGGAAGATGGATGTTTCTTAACCTTGTGTTAAGCACTCTCAACCTTGTGTTAATGCATTCTCGGAATCCTGGGGGGGCGGGGGGGGGGCTGGCCCAGGTGCTTCATTTGCATGTAATAAGGGTTTGTTATCTTTTGGCTTTAAGGTCTCTTCCCGTAAAAAGCAAGAGACAGAGCTGGGGTGTATGTTTGCAGTAATGCCATCTCAAGGAACTAATTTATTTAAATCCACTTGTGACCCGGGGATACCAATCTGCAAATAAATGGGACTGCATCCAGAGAACTGTAGCATTTGCTCTCTTGCAAAGCTCCCCCTCACTCCAACGAGCATGTGGTTGTAGGTTCATTGCGTTGCACTGATCCGGCAGGCCGAGAGATGGCCATGACCTACTGTATTAAAAGAGGTCATTCATCACAAACGATCTGTAGACAGACTGGTTCACACCTGAGGGACACACATGGCTTGTTCTTCCCAGTCGACAAGGACCATTGCTAGGCTTCTTTATGACCTGAGGACCGTGGCCAGCTGCTGGTGGCAACAATGTAGCCTCTTCTGGCAACTTCCTCCAGGTGACTCCGGACCGGTTGGCCTCCTTCTTGTAGATACTTGATCTGGTCTCTGCGGAGTCCCTGCAGGATGCCGAGTGTCCCAGATGGTGATTAGAGATGCCACTCGGTTCGATGACTGAATCTTCTTGTTGTCTCGGCCAAGAACCGGCCACAGTCTGTCCGCCTGATTACATCACATCCTCTGTTCAGATCGGCCGTGGGGGCTCCTTGTGTGTTTAGGGGCATCTCTTCCCACCCCAAGGAGTGGGCATGGATGGATGTCTATGTGGGCAAAACATTCCCCTTTTGTCTTGAAAAGGGTGAACTGTTTTATTTTGTAATTTTTCCCCTTTATTGATGTTAGAGAGGAAGGGAGAGGGAGAGAGAGAGAAACATTGATGAGAGAGAACATCGATGGGCCGCCTCCTGCACGCCCCCCACTGGGGATCGGGCCCACAACCTGGGCATGTGCCCTGACCGGGATTCGAACCGGCGACCTCTTGGTACAGGGTCAGCCCTCAACCTCTGAGCCACAGCGGCCGGACACGGGCGAACTGTTTCAAACTGGACTGTTTTCTCCCCTGCAGGGCAGATCCTGAACGTTCTGGAAGAGCTCGGGCTGACGAACAACACGCTCGTGTACTTCACGTCCGACCAGGGTGCCCACGTGGAGGAAGTGACCACCAAAGGAGAGCGCCACGGAGGGAGCAACGGCATCTACAAAGGTGAGCTGCACACGAGCCCCGGCGTCCCCGCTCAGCCCGGGTCCCCTTCTCCTTGGCTCGGAGCGTTGGTCTCCTGAAACTTGGCGCCGTTCAGGACTTGGGGGCCTCGGGGCATTGAAGAGGCGGAGGGCGGAAGTGGCCATTTCTGCTGGGTCCCCATGGAACTTAAGGTACACAGACTCTGTCAAGATGTGGGGATGAAAACCGTGCACCCTCAATGTAAACGCAGCCCCCCGGTGTGTGGCTGATTAGAACATGAGCCCCTCCCCGTGAGTGAGTGACCGGCGGCCACGGGACAGGGCAACAGTAGGTCGTGGAGTAACGCAGCGCAGCGCGGTTGGCTTGTAGGTTTGCCGGTGACGGGTCGGCAATGGGTCCCACTGGTCTGCCACCCCTGCAGGTCTGGGGGAGGGTTCGCTTCTTGGCCTTTTCCAGCTTTGGGGGGCCACCTGCTCTCCTGGGCTCAGACCCCTTCTTCTATCTGTCAGCCCGACGGTGCAGAACCTCAAGGCTGCCCCTCTCTGAGCTCTGCACCACGGTCCCGTGTCCGTCACCCCCTCCCTCTCCGGGGGACACTTCTGTGGACAGGGCCCCCTCGGCCGAGCGCCGGGGCTATACCCCGAGAAACTCACTGTGAGTAGAAGACATCGTAGGTCAAACATGCGTCCGACCTACCGGACGCCGAGGCCGAGCTCCGTTCTCCCGAACAGGTGTCCGTGTTGCAGCATCGAAAAGTGGAAACATCGTAGGTCAAACCTTCATACGTCTCAGTAGCGGGGGCCCCCCAGATAATCCAGTGGTTTTCCCATTTCAAGGCCCGGAACTTAACCACGCCTGAAACTGGTTAGGGGTGGAAGGTGACACCGGCACGTCCCTGGGAGGCCATGGGGCGCCGCCCTCCGCCCACGGAGCGTGCTGGGCCGAGGCCTCGTTTCTCACAGTGTCCCCCGGGCCCCCACCGTGATGGAGCCGGCATGACGGTCGTCTCGGGAACATTAGATGAGACCCCGCCCCGCCCCCAGGGCGCTTGTGAGAACACGCGACCTGCCCGCCTCCCTGTACGGAAACCGGGCCCGTCTCCCAGACTGGGATGCGGTGTCCGTAGCGGCCCGTCCATGCCGAGGACCGAGACACCCATTCGCAGACAGTGCCCGGGGGCCGGACGTGCGTGAGGGCGGGCAAGTGCAGGTGACCGTGCAAAGGGCGGACCGTGGGGTCCCAGAGAGTGGGGGCCCCTGAGCAAGGCAGGGGGGTGCCGCAAACACAGAGAAGCCTGGGGCCATCGACTGTGGGTCCCATGAAGGGGTGAAGCCAGGTGCCCTGTGCTGTGTTTTGTACAGGAGCCTCCTGGGTGCCCGGGGCGTCGGGGAATCGTGTCCCGCCCGAGACCGTGCTCACGAATGTGTGGATGCTTTCCCCTCAGCTCACTTAAAGCAGGGATGGAGCTGCGCGCCCAGCGTGGGGCCAGAGGCGACACAAGCGGACCATGCTGTCCCTCCCTGCAGGACCTTGTGGCCAGCGGCTGACGGGGGTGGACGGCATGGGGTGGGAAGCCCGGAGGGGCCCTGCCGCTTAGTAAGGGCATCAGCACTTGTTTGCCCAAAATACCAGAGGGAAAACACCTAGGGGAGCCCCGGACGGCCAAGGGGCCCAAGAACCGGCCCAAAGCAGGCCAGGCGCGGACGGAGGGAGGCCCCGTGTGTCGCGGTCGCGTTCTCCTCGCCGTTTCTGCCCTCCCGGCGTGCGCCGTCTTTAACCGTGCTGGGGGCCAGGAGACGGGCAGGGGGCCCATCCCCCAGCTGCAGGGGCGGAGCAGAGCGTGCTCACACATGCCTGAGCTCGGGAGCTGGAGGGACAGACGGTGGGCAGCTGTCCGTGCCGTGGCGACGTGGGGACCGGGCCACGGTGACACTTCCGTTTGGACCTCTTTTTGGTGTTGAGCACCTTGGGCAGGGACCATTTCTCACACCTTTGGTCACCTGGACCTGACCCCAGAAGGGCTTCTGTTCAGTGCTGGTCTGGACACCTTCTTAGTGTTCACTTAAAATAAACAGGCCCTGCCCTGGCCGGTCTGGCTCAGCAGTTAGAGCATCGGCCCGTGGAACAGAGAGACCGGGTTCGGTTCCTGTAAGGGCACGGACCTCAGTTGCAGTTTGTCCCCGGCCCTGGTTGGGTCGTACGGGTGGCAGCGTCACATCGATGTATCTCTCTCACATCGATGTTTCTCTCTCTCTCTTTCCCCTTCTCTCCCTCCTGCTCTGTCTCAAGATAAATGCAAAAGTGTCCTCGACTGAGGATAAAAAAATAAAATAAAAATCCAAGGTCATTCGAGGTGACAGGCGGCAGCGTGTCTCTGGGGTCAGGAAGGACAGCTGTGGGCAGCAGGGTCCAGGCGGGGCCCAGACGGGGTTGCGATGGGGAGACAGGCGATGGGCGTCTGGGAGACAGGACGGGACAGGGACGTCCCCGCAGGAAGGCGTTGCTCCGGGTGCAGATACCAGGACCCCGAGGCGCGGACTCCGAACAAGGTGTTTCATCCTCCATCCTGGGGTCCCCGTCCCGTCGTCCTCAGACCTGCTCCCCATCATCTCTGCAGATGGCTCTTGGGGACCCCAGGGAGTCAGGCCCCGTGCAGAGGTCACTTTGTCTGTTTAATGTCCAGAGGTTTGAGGCCTGAGACGGGCCAGGTGGGTCCTTGGGGACGCAGCTCCGCTCCCTTCCAAAGGGGCTCGGTCTGTGATTGTTCACAGTGGGAGGTCACAGGTCTTCCTCCCTCTGCACGGGCGTCTTCGGCAGCACGAACACCCGGTCCTGGGGCCACGATGAAGCTGTGTTTGATGGGGGCGGGCAGCCCTCCCTGTGCACAGCCCTGTTTCGGGGTCCTGGCAGTGAGCACTGCCCGCCTACGGAGGGGTTCCCATCGGATCCCCACAGGCTGTGGCCTGCGTGGACAGAGCTTCGTTGCTTTTCTGGCGTAGATGACCGTCTGCAGAGACGTAGCTCACACTGCGCCTCACGCCCTGGTTCAGCTGGCCACGCTTCTCCGCGAAGGCCTGTTGGGTTCTGACGTCGCTTCGCGGATGCGGGTGACACGTGTCCACCCGTCGCAGCCTTGCAGGGGGTTAGGACGTGGTGCGTCCTTCAGGAAGGTCATCCAGGTGCTGTTCAGGGGCAGTGGCCAGCTGGCTGCCGGCGGACGCCTCTGAGGAAGGCTGATGGGGGGAGGAGGGGGCACTGGATTTATTTTCACAGACGGGAGCGGTTGGGTCAGAGACGGCGTCCGGGGACCCGAAGGGTGTTGGGAAATGGTGCTCACACATCCGAAAAGCACGCCCATAGCAACTCTGGTGTGGGGTCTTGTCTTTATTGAAAATACAGATTTTCTGTTGTTTTTTTTTTTAATGTTTTAGTTCGTTTTTCTTTTTTTAAAAAATGGTTTTAATTTTTTTTCTTTATTGATTTTAGAGAGAGGAAGGGAGAGGGAGAGAGAGAGAAACATCGATGAGAGAGAACATCGACGGGCCGCCTCCTGCATGCCCCCCACTGGGGATGGGCCCACAACCTGGGCATGTGCCCTGACCGGGAATCGAACCGGTGACCTCTTGGGGCAGGGTCGACGCTCAACCACTGAGCCACACCGGCCGGGCTAGTTTTTGTTTTTTTTTTATATTGTTGAAAGTATTACAGGTGTCCCCCCCTTGGTCCCCCACTGACGCCCCTCCTCCCTGCTCCTACCCCCTCCTGCGTTCCCCAAACTCTGTCTGTGTCCATCGGTTCTGCATGTAAGTTCTCTGGTTTATCTCCCCCCGCCCCCCACCCCACATCTCCGAGGTTGGCTTGTGTTGAAAGAAATGTATCGAGATGTTGGAAATGTGTCCCAGTTCTGCTTGAGTGCTAGAGACCCCATCCCCGTGGGCCCTGTGTCGTCTCCGCCGAGGCTGTCAGGCAGGACATCACCCCTGTGTCCACTTCAGTGGACGTCAGGTCTGCCGTGGGACGTGGTCAACGTGCAGCGCCGAGAAAGACTCAGCTTCCTTCCGGCTGGGGGCCAGGCCAGAGGCTCCTAAATGCCGAAGTATCGCGTTCACTAACGCAGCCCAGAGTGTCCAAGTACCGGATTCTCTAAAGCTGAGACCTCAAGTGCACTCTCTCTCTCTTTTTTTTTAAATTGTTTTTTTCTTTATTGATGTTAGAGAGAGAGGAAGGGAGACGGAGAGAGAGATAGAAACATGGATGAGAAGGAACATGGACTGGCCGCCTCCTGCACGCCCCCCACTGGGGATCAGGCCCACAACCTGGACATGCGCCCTGACCGGGAATCGAACCGGTGACCTCTTGGTGCAGGGTCGATGCTCAACCACTGAGCCACACCAGCTGGGCCTCGAGTGCTCTCTCGTGGTTGATGCCCGGACGCTCTTTCCACGATCCCACCATCCTTCCCTTCACAGCTGTTCCGCCGATGAAATCAATGGCCAATTTGACGCCGATGAAATCAATGGCCAATTTGATTGGCGCCGATCAAACCACCCTTCTGCAGATTGCAACAGGTCCTTCTCTTTCTTAGTCACGGGGACATTCGATCAGGCTGTCGTCGGCCCCTGAAAGATCGTGACTGACTATTATGGGGGTGAGGGCATCATGACACCCCTATTTTTTTGGTCCCTGTTTCTAAAGGACAGATAAAGACGAGGGAACTGGTAGACCATTATCCCCGAGTTCGTTCTTGTTGCCAGTGCGCACACCTCAGCTGTCACTGGCTTTGGGTGATGCCCCCACCTCCGCGTTCGACTGTGGTAGGCGTCCCGTGGAGGACAGTGGAGATGATGAAGGGGCAGAGTCGTGAGGGGACTGGAATTGCGTTCAGGTGGCCCGTGTTACCGCGGTCCACGCGCCAGGAGACCCAGCAGGAGAGATGTCTCCTCCTCCTCGCACCTGTATCCCCGGCCCGAGACCAGTGCCCGCCAGGTTTAAGGCATCCTTTGTACTGAATACATCCGTGAAAAAGGATACTTGAGTTCAGGTTGAGACGGAACGGCGGATGGAGAAGGGAAATCCATGGGTATGGGCAAGGGATGGGATGTTGGGTTTCGGGGCAAGGCGTCTCGTGTTCCCGGCTTGTGGGGTGAGGAGGCGAGAGGCTTCCCTGAGAATCAGGCCCGTCGTGGGTGGGCGGTGCCCAGGGGTAGGAGGTCCTGTCTGGTAGGAAGGGAGAGGCCGGGCCGAGCCTCGAGGACCTGTGAGTTGACCAGGTGCAGCCTGATGACCTGAGAACGGAGAGGGGAGACTGATTGGGAACACGAGCAGACTCGGGGGAGGAGGAGGGGCAGGTGGGCCGAGGTGAGGGCAAAGGAAAGCCAATAAGCAGCCACACGAGGACTGAGGGGCCGTCGGATCTCTCACACACGTGATCCTAACAAGCAGCTTTTCAGAGGAGACGGAGGGGCCGAGGCAGACGGACGGATGGAAGGGGTGGAAGGTGAGAGCCTTCTCCGAGGCTTCTGTGAAATTCGTGTTGGCAGGGAGGGGACAGAGGGGTTGTCACGGGAGGAGTTATTGTCCCGAGTGAACTTGAACCACGAGACGGCGGAGAAGCAGAGGCCACTGAGAAGCGGAGGGTCCTGGGGGGCCTAGGTTTAGGGGAGCCGGGAGGGGTTTTAGCTGGAGGTCAGTGTCCTACCAGAGACGTGTGAATGAAAGTCAGAAACGAGAAGAAACGGTGCGTCGACGTGGTCTGCGCTGGTCGGAGGGACCTGGTGGACAGGACACAGTGAGTGAGCACCCCGGAAATCTCAGCACCGCCTGCAGTGACTGGGATGTCCCGTGAAGAGGGTCATCGGAGGGCTGGATGTTCCCTCTTGGACGATGCTGGGACAGAATTACCTGCTGCACGGGTCTTACGTGGCCAAGCCTGTGGCCACACCGCAGGGCGACATGTCGCCGAGCCCGGGCCCCTTGCTGAGAAAGCCGTCTGGGAAGGCGGGGGTTGCGGGGTGCGTGGAGGTTTGGGGTCCTCGCATTGGAGGCAGAGCAGGTGGCAGCCACGTGGCCCCTGTGGTCCGTGCGAGAAGGAGGCTGAAGGGGTTTGCCCACAAAGTGGGGGGAAGTGTGGAGGAGGCGTCGCTGGGTAAACTGAGGTCCGGTGATGCTCTGAAGGACGCAAGGTCTACGGTGGAACGGAGGAGGGGGACTAAGAACCCTAATAGTTTGGCGAGGGGGAAAAAAGATTGGAGCCCTGGCCGGTTTGGCTCAGTGATTGGAGCGTCGGCCCGCGGACCAGAGAGACCCGGGTTCAGTTTCCGCTGAGGGCATGTACCTCGGTTGCAGTTTGTCCCCGGCCCCGGTTGGGGTCGTGTGGGTGGTGACCACTCAATGTGTCCCTTCACGTCGATGTTTGTCTCTCTCTCTCCCCCCTCATGTTCTATCTGAGGATAAATGCAAAAATGTCCTTAGGTGAGGATAAAAAAAAAAAAAAAAGGTTGGAAACAGGAGTGTATCAGCACACTCATAGGTGGGATTATGTTTCTCCTCAGCCATACCCTTCATCGATGATCTGTTGTTGCGTTCATTTGTTAAATACACGGGCCACGGTTAGGTGCAGGTGGCGTACCGCATGCTTCGGGTGATTCCACACTGAGCCAGAGGTTGTTGTCCGTGCTGCTGGCCCCGCGGGGATGACAGCTGTGGGGGGGATCGGTCGTCAGGCAGCCCCGAGGAGAACGAGGCCGAGGCGGAGGGGAGGGACCCAGGTGCAGAATTTCAGGTGCACAGCGTAGAGCTCACACCTGAGCGTGTGGCACCTGGAGGGAGGCTCTTCCAGGTGTGAATCGCAGGTACGGATCCCCGAGAGCCCAGCCCCCCGGTCCTCCTGGCCGCCTCCCTGTGAGCGTCTGAGCTCGGATGGTGACTGCCGTGGAAAGACACAAAGGAACAACAGGGCTGATTCTTTCAAATAAAAAATAGCTTTTCTTTTCATTGGGTGTTTGATAGTGAGAAGGTGCTCCTTTCGTTTATGGACGGTCTGTACCCTGGCTTGTGATGACAGTGCCCCAGCTGTGCGGGAACAGAGAGACGCGTCTGAGCAGAAAGATGACCGCGTGTCCGCAGGGCACATAGAACATGCTGTTTGCTGGGGCACCCAGCCCAGGGCGCACCAGTCAGGACGTGGCTGGCCTCACGGTCCAGCCTGAGATACAGTCTTTAGGTTTTCATTTTTGCGGAAATACCAAGAAAGACTTCAGTTAAGTATCAAATAGTAAATGTTTAGTAGAAGCGGCAGCGGTCATTTCCCCCAGTTCGGAAGGAAGGAAGACCCCTCGGGGCAGGGTCGACGCTCAACCTCGGAGCCACACGGCCGGGCGAGTTTGCCAAGTGGCTGCACCTGAGCCGGGGGGCTGTCCCTTCCCTGCACGTCTGGTCGGAGCAGAGTCCCCACCGCAGAGCAGGTGTGTGGCGTTGGAAACAGGACGCACCCCCTGTGTGCCTGTGGGCTGCTGGGGCACTGTGTGCCGCGTGTATGTGTGTGTGTGTGTGTGTGTGTGTGTGCGTGTGTGTGCAGTGTTGCCCATGTTCACAGTACGCTGCATTGATCGGCGTGTATGACCGCTCAGAGGTGGACAGACGGGCTGTCTGCGGCTCTGTTCCGCGGTGCTCAAGTCCCTGCGTGTGGACTCGGCGTGTTCGCTCAGCGAACAGTCACCCCGCAGTGATCATCACGGCCGTGTCCCCTGCTGTCTGTCTGCCCAGAACGGCCCTTGGCACCTGGGACGATGCCCGTGTGACTCACTCCGAACCTGCTGGGAATGTGAGGCGCAGGCAGGTGACCAGCTGTCTGGACCCCAGAGCTGCTGTTCCCCCTCCCCGTGGTCACTGTCGCAGGTCACCGCAGATTTGGGGGGGCTCCGAGCAGCACGTTTACTGTCTCATCCTCTGCAGTTCCGATGTCGAAAGCGAAGACGCTGGGCTCGGACCCCGGGGTCGCGGGGCTGGTCTCTTTGTGAAGATCCCGGGGGAACCTGTTCTCTTGTGTTTTCCGAGATCTGGGGGCAGCCGGGTTCCTGGGCCCGGCCCCTCCCCCACGCTCCCCGCCCCGCAGCCTGTGCCCCGTGTGTCTGCGGACAGCCTCTGCTCTCCCGTGCCCCCCTGCCACTCTCCCCCTTGGGGTGGCAGGAGCCACTCAGACACTCGGACACAGTGGCCCCTCTTGCCATTGAGGTTATGTCCCCCCCTGGTTTTGGGGAGCAGGGCATGGATGACCGGGGTGCCATTATTGTGCTGACTGCGGCGGGCACCGCGGCCCCTGCACCGCTGACGTGCGCCCTCTGTGGCCCAGGGACCCGAGTGTCCTGGTGGCAGTCACGGGGCACTGCTGCCCGGTGTCGGCTGGCGGGAGCGTGGGATGCGTTGATGTCCCCCCCCCCCCGTTTTGGCCGGCCGGGGACGGGAGATCTCGGGGGACCCCGCTGAGCAGGCTGTGCTCACCTCTCGTTGCCCCTCTGGCTTTTCAGGGGGAAAAGGCAACAACTGGGAAGGAGGAATCCGGGTGCCGGGCCTCCTCCGCTGGCCGGGGGTGCTGCAGGCCGGGCTGGAGGTCGCCGAGCCCACCAGCAACATGGACCTGTTCCCCACGCTGCTCAGCCTGGCCGGCGCTGCGCTGCCCGAGGACAGGTACGTGAGTCCCCCCGGCATGGTGCTCTCCCCGCGGGTGGCCCCCGGCCGGGCGCCTAGTCCACCTCCAGGGACGGGGCTGCCGGGGGGTCCACCCTCGTAAAACCCGGCTGCAGGGAAGGGACAGAACCGCGGCCCTGAGTGGACGGTGCTCGGTAACGGCCACTCCCCTCGAGCCCCCGGCCGTTCCCGAGCCCCCGGCCATGCCCAGCACCAGCTGCTGGGGCAGCGGGGATGCGGCCCTTGAGCCCCCAGTCTCACCCGCACGGTGGCTGGGGCCCCTCCGCAGCTCTTGGCTCAACAACAAGGGGCGCAGCTGGCTTCCCAGTGAAGGGCCCCCATTCCCAGCACACGTCCCCAAGCAAGTGCTAAACGAGGCGTCGTTCTCTTAAATGTAAATGCAACTTCCTGTGACTCTGCCAAGGGTTGCTTGTCGAGTGCCGTTACCCGTCGGAACAGTTCCGAGTGAAGCTGATGGAGTGTTTTCTTGAGTTCGGTGGCGGGTGGGGCGGATGTCGCAGAGGCAGGAGGCAGCTCTTGTTCCAGGCTCTGCGGGGGGCAGGAGGAAGGGGCCCAGAGACAGAGACGCAGGCCAGCGAGCTGAGCTGACTCCAGCAGAGGTCAGGCCCCCTCCCAGGGCTGGCAAGCTTAGGCCTTGCGTATACTTTCATTTGCTGCTCTCAGATTCCTGCCTTAGGCTTGCCTCCCCTCCACACACACACACACACACACATGCATGCACGCATATATGCATACGCAATCATGCACACACACATGCAGCCATGCACATATACACACATGCATGCACACACATATACACGTGTAATCATGCATACACATGCAGCCATGCATATATACACACCTGCTTGCATATACAAACAGTCATGCATACACATATGCAGCCATACATACATACACACCTGCTTGCATATACAGTCATGCGTACACACATGCAGCCATGCACACATACACACATGCATGTACACACATATACACGTGTAATCATGCATACACATGCAGCCATACATATATACACACCTGCTTGCATATACAAACAATCATGCATACACACATGCAGCCATGCATACATACACACCTGCTTGCATATACAAACAGCCACGCATACACACATGCAGCCATGCACATACACACCCGTGCATGCACACATGTATGCACAAACATGCATATACACACATGTAATCATCCACACACATGCACACATATACACACAGTCATGTGTACACACATGCCATCATGCACACCCACGTGCACATTTATGCACACATGCATGCACATACTCACATGCATGCACACATACATACACATGGGCAATCATGCATACATGCACACAATCCTGTAACTGCACACACACAAGAAAGGCAGTATTGTACAGGTCAGCCACGCTCCAACTTTATGGTCTCAAGACCCATGGACACACTTTAATGATCAGGGAACCCAAAGATCTTTTGTAGCTGTGGGTTCTCTCTGTCGATGATTTTCGTAGTCGCATTTAAACCTGGAAAGCAATGTTAAAACACGCGAGCACCCAAGCACGCTTTTCATTGACCAGCAGACGGGTGACGTCAGCACCAGCCACGGAGCCACGCGGAAAGTCCACCGTGTGCTGTAGAAACGGTGGTGTGCGTCAGTCAAAGGACGTGTGGCACTTTCGTGGAAAGAGTTGTGACCTTGCAGACCTCCTGGAAGGGTCTCGGGGTCCACAGAGACTGGCAGGTGCTGTGGGCAGAGCACAGGCTGCCCGTTTGAGCTCTTCTCTGCGCTTTCCTGCTGGTGGGTGTTGAACCGGCTGGGCCTCGCTTCCTCGTCTGGACAGTGGGTCCGTCACAGCGCCGACCTTGCTGGGTGGCCACGGGGATTCCACGCCTCAGAGCGAGCAAAGTGGAGCCCAGAGAGCGTGATCGTCTGCCGTTTCTCTCAGCCCACGTTGAGAGCCGAGATGTCCACGAGGAAGCACTATTCTTTCTTCCCCCGTGCGTACTATTCACCCAGGATCGCAGCATCGCCTGAACAGGAGGGCCGGACGGGACAGGTGAGAGCTGCCCTCGTTCCACGGTCCCTGCTGCCTTAGTGACAGGCAAAATCGCTGGTAGCAGTAACTCATCAAAAGTCCTCTCTGAAGCCAGACATCGAACGCCCAGTGCCGTCTGCTCATTGGCCCCCATCCCAACCCTTGGAGTAGATCTGTGTCCGTTCTCCAGTCACGCACACCGCCCCAGGTAATTGCATGGAGCACATTCTCCTCTCGACGCTCACCACGTGGAAAATCATTGCGATGCTTTGCTTTGTGATGTCTTGAAGTGGTTTCCCATCCTTCTGGGGAAAGGAAGGCAATAAAAGTTCACAAGCAAAGCAGGAAACTGGCTGCTACCTCCTACCCACCCAGAAGAACCTGACAGAGGCTCACAGCTTTTCTCCACCGTCCCCATCAGAGAAGAAGGCGGCCGCCTCTCACGACACCCAAGTGTTGCACATGTGTATGTATGTGTGCATGCATGTGAGCATGTGCATGCATGTGAGCGTGTGCATGCATGTGTGTGCATGCATGTGCATGGCTGCATGTGTGTATGCATCTTCTCATGATGCATGTTGGCCTAAGTCAACCCAATGGTGTTGACTCTGGGTTGAGGTCCAAGGACCTACAAAATGCTACTCTCATTCTAGAAGCAGCACAGATAGGAAAACAGAAATCTATGTCCAAGACCCTTGTGTGGAAAAAAAAAATGATGACGTACTACTGCATTTTAATCATGTGACCAGGGAGGTCCCGAAAACATCGTTCTGAGACTGCACTTCCAAAGCAATGATTCCCACCTGGGGTGACTACCCCCCCCCCAAGGGGCCAGTGACCAGTGCCTGGAGGCAGTTCTGCAGGTCTTGACTCAGAGCGTCACTGACACCTTGTGGATGGAGGTCAGGGTTGCTGCCAGACATCGTACGATGGGCAAGGTAGCTAACGGCAGAGCGTGGTCCGGCTGCAATGTCAGCAGAGCTGAGGTTGAGAACGTATTCTTCTGGTGGGGGACCTCAGCACAGCGTGTCAATAGAAGCTGCGGGCAGTATCCTCATAGATACATCCATCGACAAATGTGATACACAGGTATCTACCCTTCGGAAAACAGCCTTGCGCCCTCCCACTAAGAGGGTGGAGGTCAGCGACCCCGACTTCTTGCTCGAACAGTGTTACATTTCCATCTGTCAGGAGGCCAAACGCACTCGGAGGGCTGGACCTGAGCTGTTTGAGGGGCACTTCACCAGGTGCCCTCACCATTGTCTCTGTGGCTCATCGGCACTAGAGGGTCTCTGTTCGGAATGCCCTGCATCTTCACTTACAACCTGGAATTTTCCAGAAGCCTCTTGTGACGACTGGGCACCTCCCTGACCGCCAGGGCTCGGTGGAAGGAGAAGACCTTCGAGGCAGGGCGCTGAGTTGGGTGAAGAGAGTAGTTTTGGGGGGTTCTGTACGAGAGAGGTTCAACTGCAGGGTCTCGGCCGCTGTGAGAGGGATGGTCTCATTCGACCGTGGGGTGTGCCCTGAGACTCCCTGCAGGGGGTGTTCCTTCTGCACACGTCAGTGATTTGGCGACACCGCCGCTCTGAAGAAGTCTCGGTGGTCATCACCCCCGGCGTGTTCAGAAGATCCTTACCCCGTGTCTTCCAGTAAGCTGGTTCCAGAAAGAAAAGGAGGGCAGTCTTTTTTTGGATCTAAAATGTAGGCAACGGGGACGCACTCAAAGGAAGCCTAGCAGGCCTACGTAGACGAACCCATTGAAAGGAAAAACCTGTGCATCTCATCGTCACTAGCGGATTGAACGTTTTCACCGCCAGTCTGTGACCATGCAGGGAACGGTGACCGGGTTGGTGAAACCTTTGGGAAGACATCGAAATGCTGGCCGGAGACCATTCAGCCGGGAGGGGCAAAGCAGCGTCCGAACACCCTCGAGAACCAGATAGGTTTTCTGTTCCATAATTTAAATTAAATTCGATTTTTTTTTTTCGAGTGAGGGAAAGAAATCGTCACTTTAATGCTCGATGTTGCTTTTGTCCCGTGAAGACCAGGGAAGGGAGTCAGTTGTACCACTAAATGGTGCTGACGTGTAGCCATGTGCACCGACCTCTTCAGTAGATCCCTACGCGGAAGTCACTTCCGCTTTGCAGGGTAAAAGGCGAAACTCTTATTTTTTCTTTATTGATTTTAGAGAGAGGAAGGGAGAGGGAGAGAGAGATAGCAACATCAATGAGAGAGAACATGGACTGGCCGCCTCCTGCACGCCCCCCACTGGGGATCGGGCCCACAACCTGGGCATGTGCCCTGACCAGGAATCGAACCCGCAACCTCTTGGTGCAGGGTCGATGCTCAACCACTGAGCCACACCGGTTGGGCAGAAAAAAAAGAAACTCTTTATGTTGTGCAGGCACATACTTGATCTTGCTTTATGTTCAGAAGTCACTGTTCAATGTGGATGAATGAAACAGTTTTTTTTTTTTTTCATCATAAAATTGACTTCTAGATCCTTGGGGTCCCGTTAATTAAAGATACACTCTTTCTCCTAAAATACTCCCTTTCCTAGTACTTCTACACCAAAAAAAATGTCACTTTTCTTTTAGTTCCAGGTGACCTTCAATATTATTTTAGGTTAGCTTCAGGTGTACAGCGCACTGGTTACGCAGTCATGTAGTTGCTTTACAAAGTGGTATTTCCAGAACCCACCTGGCACCAGCCGTAGTTATGACAACATTATTGCGTGTATCCCCTGTGCTTTACATAGCATGACCTTCCTGTACCTGCCCATCTGTCCTTCTCAATCCCTTCCCTTTTTTACCCCGCCCCCCAGCCCCCCAGCCCCCGCCCCTATGGAAACCATCAGTCTGTTCTCTGTGTCTAAGAGTCTGTTTCTGTTGTTTGTTTATTCGTTAGATTGCACACGTAAGTGGAATCACACGGTATTTGTCTTTCTCTGCCTGACTTACTTCACACAGTACCCTCTAGACCAGTGGTTCTCAGCCTGTGGGTCGCAACCCCTTTGGGGGTCAAACGACCCTTTCACAGGGGTCCCCTAAGACCATCGGAAAACACATATTTCCCATGGTCTTAGGAACCGAGACACGGCTCCTCTGTCCGTCTCCAGGCGGGTCCGCCCACGTGCAGATGCGCCCACAGACAACGTGAGGAGCTGTATTAAGGGGTCATGGCCTTAGGAAGGTTGAGAACCCCTGCTCTAGACCATCCATGTTGTTCCAAAGGGTGTGATTTCATCCTTTCTTCTGGCTGAGTAGTATTCCATTGTGTCTGTCTACCGTGACTTTTGATCCACGTGCCTGCTGCCGGGCGCTTGGGTTGCTTTCATGTCTTGGCCATTGTCAATCGCACTTTCACGAAATAGGGGTGCTTCTAGTTTTTCAAATTAGTGTTTTGTGTTCCTTTGCTTCATTTTGAATATCACCCAGGGAACACACAAATATTGTGGCCCAAACTAACCTCTGTGTGAGTCCCCCAGACCTTCTCTTCTGTGCACCCCCAAAGCTTTCCCTGCTTCTGTGATGCCCATGTCCTTCCCAGGTTGTCCAGGCCCCGGCAGGTGGGAAGGACAGTCCAGGTAGACAGGTCCCTGGCTCAGAGCCGAGAGAGACAGCACGTGCATAGAGGTGGTGGCGACCTGAGCAAAGTCCCCAAAGCATACTCTCAGTTCTACAAAACGGCTCTTGAATCCAGCCTGAAATTTGGAAACCACACTCCTTGCAAACACATTGTCCATATCGCTGTGATTGTCACGAGTCCACACCCCCCCCCAGGGTTGAACCCCATTTTCCACAGGAAAAACAATCTCCAGCGAACACCCTTGACAGAAACGAGCAGACGCGACGAAGAGCTGATCCAATTAGGAGGCAGGGCGATCCAGGCAAACCTGGTATCCAGACTAGAACCTGTTTACGGAAAAGGCCGGTTTGATCATTCCCTCAGGAGAGGGTGCTCCGTGGTGTCGGTTTGAAGGAGACTGCAAATCGGGATGTTAAGAAAACACCCCCTCGCCTCCCAAGCCAAGAGAAGCGAGCTGTCTCTGGGTATCACCGCGGTTGCCTGGGGCTGGCTAAGGGGTGAAAACTACCCCAGTGTTTTGGGAGCTTAGACGCCTTTTCAAAGCTCCATACGGTCACTTCCTATTTTTCATGGTAGAAATGAGCCTCTTCCCGACACCCCATATTTCTTGACCACTGTCCCATGGTGGCTTTTCAAAGCAGCGTGATTTATTTGTGGCCCAGGAAAGAGTGCGTGAGTTTAGGATATACCCCAGAAAAAAAGGGGGGTGGGAATCTATCTGCATCAAAAGAAAGAGAAGTTTGAGGAATAGACTTGGCTTCCCTCCATTTAAAAAAATCTTAGCTATTTTGCTTTTAAGTAAGAACAAAATGACGTGAGACCTGGCGTCTTACTCTTTGTCACGAGATCCCCCTTCATGGTATCAGAAGCCAGTTCAGTTGTCTGGTACTCGTCCTGAGAAAGCAGTGCCATCTCCTGTGTTTTATTGCACTTTATTTTTTATGTACAGTTGGCAGTCAACATTATTCTGTATTAGTCTCAGGTGATCAGCATGGTGCTCAGACAGTTGTGTCCTTTACAAAGTGACCCCCCGATATTTCCATGCCCATTGGCACCACACAGTTATTACAATGTGATGGACTATATTCCCTGTGCTGTGCTTCACACCCCGTGACTATTCTGTACCTGCCATCTGTACTCCTAATTCCTCCACCTTTTCCACCCAGGTCCCCAACTCTCCTACCCTCTGGCAACCCCCTCTGTGTCTATGAGTCTGTTTCTACTTGGTTTTTTGTGTTCTTTATATTCTACATATAAGTGAAATTATATGGTATTTGTCATTCTCTGACTGATTCATTTCACTTAGCACAATACCCTCTAGGTCCATCCACGTTGTTGCAAATGGTAAGATTGCGTCCTTTTTTATGGGTGAGTACTATTCCATTGTATAGATGTACCACACTTTTTTTTTTTTTTATCCTCACCCGAGGATATTTTTCCATTTTTTTTTTTGTACAGATAGAGAGGAAGGGAGAGAGAGAAAGGGAGAGAGAGAGAGAAACATCGACGTGAAGGGACACATCGAGTGGCTGCCACCCGCACGACCAACCAGGGCCGGGGACAAACTGCAACCGAAGTACGTGCCCTTAGCGGGAACCGAACCCGGGTCTCTCCAGACCGCAGGCCGACGCTCTAACCGCTGAGCCAAACCGGCCAGGGCTGTACCACACTTTTTTATTCACCCCTCTGCTGATGGGCACTTGGGTTGTTTCTATGTCTTGGCTATTGTAAATAGTGCTGCCATGTGTGCGGAGTTGCTTATATTTTTTCCAATGAGCATTTTGGGTTTCTTTGGAATCGCTGGGTCATAGGGCATTTCCGGTTCAAATGTTTGAGATACCTCCACAGTGCTTTGCCCCGTGGCTGCAGCGGTCTGCATCCCCACCAGTGCACAGGGGTCCCCTGTCGGCACACCCTCCCCAACGCTTGCTCATTGATTTACTGATGAGAGCCACGAGGACAGGCGTGAGGCCCCATGTTCTGAAATGACGCATCGCATGATGCTGGCTGATGACGAGAAAAAGCAGCGGCAAGGAATAGTTGCAGAGCCGGTGTGAGATGAAGGAGTCGTTCTTACTCTGCAGCGGTCACGGAACACCAGGCCTCTCTGCACTTGGGGGAAGCTGGTGGGGGAGGGGTCTGAGCCCTCTGCCCTCCTCCATCCACGGGGTCCATTGTTACCCCTGGGCTTCTCGGGCTCGGACACTGGTCCCCGCACACGTCCCATCATCCCCGCCTTTCTCCCCGCCCCCCTCAGGAGCACGTCTCATTAAGGACTGAGTTTCTCGAAGGCAGTTTGAAAGGAACAGGCGCAGGTCCTGCCGTTCTGGCATGGAAATCGTAGTTCAGGGGACAGAGCTGTGTCTGGACCGAACTGCCCGCCACCTCATCTCTCCGTCCCTCTCATGGCGAACGGGATGCGGGCGGGGGACCTGGACCAAGTCCATCTTTGGCTCTTATTTTCAACTGTCAATAGTGGAACATCTTCGGCCCACGGACGTCCACGGAAGAAGGCGTGATTAGTACCGAGGGTTGAGGCCACGCAGGGCAAAGCAATGAGGCTACGGTGACATAACGTGGCTCTTAGCAACACCGGAATAGACCACACCACGCTCGAGGGATCCGGGGTGTCTCAAGAATGCGTACCCCCATTATATCGCCACGTGGAACTTCCAGCTTCCAAATCCCTCCTGCGCGGGGGTCGTAGGCACAGGGTGCTTATCATCAGAGGAAGAAAATCCTCGAGTTAAACGAAGTCTTCCGAAGGACCTCTCTTCTGGTTTGGGTGATGATGGCCCCTGGCGCCGGTGACTTCCGCTCCCTTATTGACCACTTAATGTCGCCTCAACTCGACGCAAAATAGCAGGCTTTTCCCTTGTCTCTCAGCTCCAAGTAATGTCATGTCGCGCGTCACCTGTACCGGGAAGGACAGAAGTAGCTTCACGTTGTCCGTGGGGAAAACAATGCAGTATCAGTAGATAACAATACAGGAATACACTGGGTTTTACGGACGTACGACTGTAAACCTACTTTTGCCCCCCTCTGTACAGTTGACCCTCGACCATCATCCCAGGGGTCAGGGGTGACAAGCACCTGCACACATGCCAACGAGGGCATCGCTTCCGTCAGTCCTCGTCATCATGGGCTCCCAGCTGCCGCCGGTTGACCTATGAACCAAGCGGGTTTGAAATCCGGTGGCTCGCACTGTGGGGGCCAACTGGAGGTCCGTGTGGAAGTGGACCTGCGTGGCACAAGCCCACGTGTTCAAGCGTCACCTGCGTCTGTACGGGGGAGCCATCCCGCCCCGGGGTGCGTAACGTCACGCTCTGTATCCTTTACCGACGAACTCATTCTGCTGTGACTGACGTCCGCGCAGTCCGAGTCTTCCCGTCCTATATGGTCTCTCTCTGTAACCCAGATTGTCGGATGTGCTGTCTTCAATAGGCCTGGGGTTCGTCAGTACAGCTGTTTGTCCGCCAACACACCAGTGAGGCTCAGGAAACGCATCGAAGAAACTGTCAACAGCACGGACGCCCGGTCACCTGGATTTCGAAACCAGGGGCTCTTGCTAGCGGAGGGACCTGGGATGAGTCCCTTCCTTGTGCTGGGGTCGGCTTCTCTGTCTTATCCTTAGGGAACACCAACGATCTCAGCTCGTGCTGCTGGGTGCAGGACTCAGTGAGTTTAGCCGTGGCCGTAGCTGACCTCCCCGCATCGCGTGTGGTACCCAAGAGAGGCCCGTGGGTGGTTTTCCTATCGGTGACTTGGTGATGACAAGGCGGCTATGTCTGGCTTGACTCTGTTGGAAGCACAGCTCGGGAGTCAGGGTGGGTTTGTCCAAGGACGACGTAGCCACTCATGCACCCCTGTTTCCACACCCCCTCCAGGATCATCGACGGGCGGGACCTGATGCCCCTGCTTCAAGGACAAAGCCAACGCTCGGATCACGAGTTCCTGTTCCACTACTGCAACTTTTACCTGAACGCCGTGCGCTGGCACCCACGGAACAGTGAGTCAGCACGTTCCTCTGCGGCTCTGCGGGGCGTGCGTGCGCGAGGGGACACGGTCAGGGGCACCTGCGCTTTGCTTCCGACTCCTGCTCTCTCCGCGACTCCGCCGGGCCCCGTCGCTGTCCGGGGGGGACGTCAGCGGGCCTGGGCATTCACCACCTGTTGCCCATGGGGACTCGCCTTCCAGAGACGAGGCTCCGGGTGCTCAGCGGGGCCCGGTGGTCCCTTCCTTCCCGCTCCTCCAGCTGCAGGCTCCCCCACTGCTTGTCCCTGTGTCTTCCAGCCCTGCTCCGGGCGTGGCTGACGTGTGCTTACAGCTTCGTCCCCCCCAAGGGCTGTCCTTTCCTTCTTTCCTGGATCGGGCTGATCGGTCCCCCAACACCGACGGGAACACGGCACCCCCTGCCTGCTGCCCGGGAGCTCCCTACAGCCCCGTCGCTTTGCACGTCCGCGCTCAATGGCGTTGAGACGCTCCGCCCATTTTCTCTCCCGAACCTCAAAGGGGGCGGGTCAGGACTCCGGCCTCTGTGTGTCGTCACAGATGACATGCATTTCCCGGACGGGGGTCTTGGAAAGCACGTTCAGATGCTGGGGGTCTCCTCAAGGCCGGCGCTGTGTCCGTGACAGTGGCGGGCGTGGGTTTCGGACGCCGGTGTCTGAGATGCGTGCTCACGAGCCCGGCGGTGGGGTGGGACGTGGTCCCAGGTGCACCGAGGGGCTCAGGTCCTTCTTCAGACGCTGCCGCTGGGAACCTCGGTCATGACCCGGTCACTGAGCTGGAGTCTGTGCAAACCCAGCATCTGCTCAGACAACTGCTGTGTGGCCGAGCGGTTGGTGTACAGGTGGATGACGGTCAAGTCAGTCCTCAGAGGTTAACTAGTCTCCCCTTTCCTCGCTTGTGTTTGGGGGTCGGCTCCTAGGAGCTTCACTTTGCCTGGACATCTGGTAACCTCCCGACCGACGGCTCGTTCTTAAACTCATGGTGGCTTGCGGTGCGTCTCGCTCCCAGCCCTGCGTGTCCAGCGAGTTATCGAAGGCTTATTGCAATCACTCCCTCTCGTTATTCTCAAGTGGAACATGACCCCCTTTGCAGTCCCCGCGGGAATGACCCCAGGACCCCAGCTTTGGGCTGCAGGGTTCCTACCCTCCATGAGGGCGCGGCCTTGGGGTATGTCCTGTTTACCGGTCACAGCTCTGGGTGCACAGCTGCAAAGGCCCATGGGAATCCCGTGTCTTCCGTTCCATGGCTGGGCACATTTCGGTCGGAGCTGTCTGCCAAGGGGGGCCGTGCTGCTCCCCACTGCCGTCTACACCGAGCCTGGGAAAGCTGGGAGGAACCGCGTTTCTGGGACGCTCGGGTGTTTACGGAAGTAGGAACATCGTGCCCGTAGCTGTGCAGGTTTGCGTTGAAGGAGGCAGCCTCACCCCAGCTGGGGAGGCCGGAGGGAGCCCAGTAGACGGGGGCCGGAGAAGCTTACTGTGTGGGAGAGGGAGGAGGGAATAGGGAGGAAGACGGATACGGGAGCGAGTGGAAGGGGGAGAGTCCACTTGGACAGGCTGCCGGCCTGGGACCGGTTGTGCTTTTTCGACAGTCATTTCCCCAAATGCCACTTCTTCAGGTCTTCTGCCTCAAACCGGCAACCGAGGACACGTCGTGGACGACATGCTGGGGTGGTGTACCGACCGAGCCACGGGTCTCACGAGACCACGGTTTCATGGATCGTGTCTCGGGGCCACGTGCCCTCTGGGGCTCGGTGCCAGGTTGCTGCCTTGGCTGGCCCGCGGGGCGGTCCGCTTAGCGAGCCGCACGCCGTATTCCCGCTGCAGTGTTCAGGGAGCAGCTACGGTGTGGGTGCGCGTGCGTGGGCTCGGTGGACGTCTGCCAGGGAACAGAAGTGGTCCTTGTCCTCTGCAGCGGGGGTTGACGTCCGGCCTCCACTCCACCTGTGGTGGCACCGCAGTGTCACAGGAGCTGCTGGGTTCTCCACGCTGCTCCCACGACAGACGGCCGCGCGCCGTGAGCCGTGCATGCCGCGCGCTGAGTGTGCAGAAGCGTAGGGAAGGGGGACCCGCGCTGGCCGGTGTGACCGGGCGTCTGGAGAACCCGGTCCAGGAGGGCAGGCTGGGTGAGTGCTGAGGTCTGAGGTCTCTCTGCCGGGAGATGCTCAGCAACCACCGGGCTGCAGGGCGGGGCGCTGTCTGTGATTCTCAGGGAGGAGACGGCTGCCATGGGACCCCAAGTGCTTCGTGAGCAAAGCAGCGAGCACCCGGGTTTGCGGACGGGCAGGGGTGTGTGCCGCCAGCTCCCGGTGCTGAGGACGCCAGGCTGCTCCCACACCTGTGCCAACACGACGTCCGCCACGCTGGGGGGGCGAGCACCCCGGCAATCGGCAGACACTGCCAAGCCGGACTTGGCACCTCGCCTGGGAGGGGGCGAGCCCTCCTGGCACCGGGAGCCGGGGGGCCTGCAGATGTTTCCAAGGCCCAGTGGCAGCTCGTCAGGGCCAGCTCGGGGCCTAACATTACACCTGCAGGCGCATCATGTAGGTATTTTCCAAAGCCTGTCGCCAGAGTTCGTTTGGACCCGTTTACAACACGAGTCCCTTTTCGCGCCGATGGGCAGTGTCCCCTCTCTAACTGATAACTCCGCCACACGGTCATTCTACAATTGACCGGTCTGAGCAGGTCCGATGACCTCATTCCGGAGGAGGGGATCTCTTCCTTCCCGTGGAAACGGACCCGGAGGAGCAGAGGAGACTTCACCTGGGGTGGTGCACGCACAGGACGATACACAGATGATGTGTTGCAGAGCTGCACACCTGAAACCGATACGGTGAAATAAATGCTCACAATAATGTGGGAGTCTGCCAACCATCTGGTCCACAAAAGTCCACGGATGTGGCCGTCCTGGTGCCGGATCCACAGAACCTCCCAAATCCTGTCTCCGAATCGAGTGTGTTGGAAACATATATTTTTTCTTGTGATTAAAAAACCAAAACAAAAATCGCTTAAAACCGTCGGAAGATAAAGCAGCCCAGGAAAGAATTTTTTCTAAAGACCAGCGTTCACGCCCAACTTTTTCAAAGTCACCGTCTTTGCAAAACGGGAGAAAAGGCGGTTGCGGATCCGAACAGCGCCGGCCTGGCGAGCGGGACAAAGGCCGGCTGTGCTGACCGCTGGACGTGTGCAGTCAGGTACAGAGCTCACTTCGCCTCTAAGATGCACCCGGGAAAAGAGAGACGATGCGAACACGTGAGCTGATGTCTGCTGGGTGGGCCAGCGTGAGGGGGCGGGGCCGGGCCGGACCCTGGTCCTGTCTGCAACTTCAGTGGGGTTTCCTTGGACGTCCTTCCTGCTCGGATGACCTGAACTTGGCCTGAAGGGTCGGAAATGAAATAGGCGGATGCCAAGCTGGACGGGACTGCGTGGTTTCAAATACAAGCAGCTGACCTTAAGAAAGACCAGCTCCAGCCCTGGCTGGTTTGGCTCAGCGGATAGAGCGTCGGCCTGTGGTCCAGAGAGACCCGGGTTCGGTTCCCGCTAAGGGCACGTGCTTCGGTTGCAGTTTGTCCCCGGCCCTGGTCGGTCGTGCGGGTGGCAGCCACTCGATGTGTCTCTCTCACGTCGATGTTTTTTTAAAAAAGAAAGACCAGCTCTGGCCCCCCCATGACTCCCGTAGCAGTTAAGGAGGCGCATGCGGACACGTGTACACCAGTTCAAGGGTGATCTCGGCCTTAGGATTTCCTATTCCTTTGGGATCTCAACCAGGTGCTGTGATCCCCAGCTTTTCCCTTTCAGCCTCTGACTTGTCCTCTGGGCCCCTGAGCAGGATCAACGGGGATTCACGCGCACAGAGGAAGATGACAGGGACTCCGGAGGGACGACGTCTGCTCTGTGGTGCCACTGGGGGGCTTTCCTCAAGTCCCCAAATACGTACGCACTGGATGGTTACATCATCAGGCGCGGTCAGCTTCTGAGTGACGGCTGAACTACCCGGCGACCGTTGCCTTCGATGGGAAAAGCTCACAATTGGATTGTGTTTGCTCCGACTTTGTCTATTAACAGATATTTTCTTTGCATTGTATTGATTTGGGAAGGAGGGAAGAGAGAGAAATGTGTTGTCCCGGTTATTCATGCATTCGTGGTTGATGCATCATTGGCTGTTTCTCTTTCTTTTTTAATTTTTTTTTAATGTATTTTAGAGAGAGAGGAAGGGAGAGGGAGAGAGAGATGGAAACATCGATGAGAGAGAGAACATCAAGTGGCTGCCTTCTGCACGCTCCTCACTGGGGATCAGGCCCACAACCTGGGCATGTGCCCTGACCGGGAATCAAACCCGCAACCTCTTGGTGCAGGGTCAACGCTCAACCACTGAGCCACACCAGCATTGGTTGTTTCTTGTATGTGCCCTGCCCAGGGATCGAACCCGCAACCTTGGCATATCGAGATGATGCTGTCACCCACTGCGCTACCCGGCCAGGGCCTTATTCGCATACATTTTCATATGACCCCTCATTTCACCTTGTGAACCGCATTAGACCACTTTGGAAATAGACATCCACGCTCTGCGGAGGTGTTCACGTGTCTGCGCGAACGTGGCGTGAAGATCGTGGATGAAATCAGGGCCGGCCGTGGCTCTGTTAATTTTCCAAAGCGAGGCTCCCTCCTTACAGAGCAAAAAATAATCAACGTGGAATTTTTTCCTTGAATACTCACACACACAAAAGCCACCGCGTGCCCCAACGCTGCACACGTTTCGATCTGAGCTCAGCATACCGGTCCCCTGGTCTTGCCGAGCGTCAGGCGTCCGGCCCTTCTCCGTACACGTCCCTGCTTGTGCTGCTGTGCTGGTGTTTCCACAACAGGGTTCACGGCTCTGGTCGTAGACTTCGACACGAGGTGCGGGTCGGTGTTCCCTCTGTTCTCACCCCGGCTTGTCACAGTCACCGCCGCCTGCGTGCCCCCCCAGCTCTCCCTCCATCGGCATCACCCCCTTTGC